TAATCTGAGAAAACTATTTTAATATATTGTTTAAAATAGTCCCACAGCGTAGTTTTGACCAAAAGTGTCAGAGAAATAAAAAGAATTAAGATCAGAGGAGCCGGCTTTAATGGGCTGCTGCGTCTGCCGAGTACTCAACACTGAGATGAGTCAGTCTCAATAAGCTTTCAGTTTGCATATTAACTTTTAAAACTATAACTTATAGCCTCGTTTTACACATAGCCATTTTTAGACTCAAAAGGTTCCTCAGCTCCAACGCAGGTTTAATTCTTGATAAAGCCATCATATTTCACTCGTGTGCTTACATTGGAAGTAAGAAACCCAGAAGCAGTCAGTATTAGCAAGCCTGGAAAATTACATCTTCTCTGTTCAATAAGTGCCTGGATTGTTAATCGGCCTGAGCATAAGACTATGGACCACAAGCAAAGCAAAAGCCTCTGAAAACCTAGTCCACACGTTCATCTGTGAAAGAGAAAAAAAGAAGCTGAGCAAGCTGGAGAGAGAAAGGGTCCTTGCTATCAGCTGAAGTTCCCATGTATTTATATGAAGGATATTTATTCCGTTTCTGAACTCGAGGGACGGCGGATGATAATCCTTTAAATGTCTGCACACATCTTCCCTGCTACTGGCACCTTATTAAAATATGTAGATTAATTTGCGACCTGTTCTGTATGTGATTAGAGCGAGTGGATTGGGTGCTCGAGATTCAGCTCATATTTGTAATCTTCTAAATTTAACAGCGACTGAGAGCTTGTCAATTAAATGGGATGAAATGATGGGGAAGAGTCTGATTCATCTTCATCTCCTTGTTTTATGCTCGAGTGGCCACAGAGTTATCATTTACAGGGCTTCAGATAATTGGCAGCAGTTTTGCTGAGCCCTTCTGATTTAGGATGAATTTGTATTCTTCAACCAGATGGGAGCTCAATACACACTGGCGAAGTGCAGCCAAGTTTGGTCAATTATAGCAAAAAAAAAAAAAAAACCATGTCACTCCAGATGAGAGAAAGGCACTAAGGGGTAAAATAAGATCTTATGGAATTTAATGGTATTTATGTCATTTAGTTTGAAGGTGATTGATTTGCACTTTTCATTCTTTACATATGGGGCTTTTTTCCTTTTAATTTGACTTGCAACAGAAACTTGATTTGACTTCTGTGACAAGCCTGGAAGACCAGTTCAAACTTCCTGAATACTACATCTGTTGTCCTGCTCTTTAGTATAGTATCACTGATGAGAGTGAAATCCAGATGCTGAAAAGGTTCCATGTGAAAAGGCAGTGATGTGAGGCAATACAAACAGGGTTTCCAAAGAGTTTTTCCTTTCTTATTCTATGTTTTCCAGGATGCTACATCATATTCATCAGATTAATTTTAACTGAAATACAACCAAGCTTTTCATTTTGTGCCTATGGTCACTAGAGGTTCTCAGTCTAGGTACCCACCCTCCATTAACACCAATGTAAGACCTTTGTTTCCCTCTACAGTCCATATTTGTCGTATCCGGTCTTTCTTTGTCAACCTTTGATTGAGCTGAATGAGACAACAGAACAATGATGTGACAATGAGGTTCCCACACAGAAACCTCTTTGTCATCAAACACAATAACATGACTTGGGTTAATTAAATCTAATCTAATAGGCAGTGATTGAGCCCCACATTTGACTCAGATCAAATTAGTTACGCCTTCAGACAATGTCGATCCTGCTGTGGCATGAAGAGGTCATGTAGGTCTCCGGAACAGATTTGGATTGATCTGTGCAGAGGAAATCATCCCCTGCTCAAGTCACAAACAAGGCAAATGGTACATCACAACAACAACACACATGACAGTGGTGTTATTCTTAAATAATATTTGTCATTTTAAATAATTTCATATTGTGTTTCAAACATTGTCAGTGTAACACCTAACTATCATACTCAGCCGCACTGTGCAAAGTTTTCAGGGGAAGTTAAACTCGACCTGTGACAGATATAGCCATGGGGCTCCTTCTCTTTACCCAGACCTCTGTAAAGACTCCAGGGCTCAGAAAAGGCAGAGGTGAAATGCACACATACACACAGACAGAGCTGTCTTGACAGTATCTAGTTTCACCTCCTCTCAGCACTTTTCTATCCCTCAGGCAGGATTTTGCTATTCCATTTCTCACCCACTTTGACGGTCAAAAGTTTCAGCTCAAAACTAAAACTCTTCAGCTGTATCATTTTGTTGGTGCTTTAAAAAATAAATAAATATCAAGTTGGTGGACTAAGTATTCAGGTGAAGTAAGTAGGGGGTCTTCTCTCCATGAAGCAGAGCTGAGCCATATATATTGGTCTGGACAGGAAAGGTAACCTAGTGCTGAGTGGCACACTGGACAGAGAGACAGGATTAGAGGCTGCTCCTGACATTTGGCACAACACTCAACTGGGGGTAAGGTTAATTTAACAATGAGGGGTCAGGGGGTCATGGGCTTGACTCAACCACTGCTGGCAGGCTGAGAGCAACATAAGACATGTTTGAGAACCACAGTTCTCTTTTGTTTCTCTAAAGTAATCCTTAACTTACTGTACATTTAATCCACAAACAAATACCAGATGATTCATTCCCCTCAGACAATAATATATCTAAAGATGCTGTTTTAAAATATACAGATCAGTCAAGTTGATCATTTCTGCATGTCTGTGATGATGGCTGCGCCTGGAAGAGAGTGACTGTATGTGTATGCTAGTGCAGAATGTGCATGTGTGTCTCACAGTTGGGTGTGTGATTGGTTCAGAGCGGGAGCATCAGGCCCTCCTTGGTCCTTCAGTCAGTCACTTCTTCTTGCTCGACTGCTTTGCTCAGCCAGGCTGAAAGCTGCTCTGTTGTCAGGTTGGAGTGTGCTAATTAGGCTCCAGTTTAATTTTCCAGGATGCTCTACTGCCCTTTAAATGGCTATTTCAAATTCAAAGTGATAGTAATTGTACCGTGGCATGCTGATCATGTAATCACCTTTTTTTTTGCTTTGTATTTTCACTGTCACATTCTTTCTATTTATTTCATCTTTGAAATCTTAAGTGGGATGCTCAAACACTGTTGTCTATGCTGGCATACCACACCAGGCTTTGTAGACTATGGGTCAGTGCTATTCAGGGTAAACAGTGGGTCTAAATTAAAGGCTGGTTACATGCAGCAAGCAAAAAGAAAAAAAAAAACATTGCTTAAAAAGTAAGCAATGGCCAACTTTTAATGACACACTCAACAGGACTAGGGGCTGCACAAATTAAGAGAAAGGGCAAAAAATGAACAAATGACTTAACTTGGAGAATGTATTCAGGGTGATTAGCCTCATGTTACTTTTTTTTTTTTTCATTTGGCTTATATCCCAGCCTAACTCACCCGGATTAAACAGGTTGATGAGGAGAGCAGCTGGAGTTATTAGAACACTGGGGGAAAAGGAGTAATTTTGATAGCCTCCTGGAAGAGTAATTGGGGTAATTGGAGTGGTACTGTACTGGAGGAAACTATTACATTTGGTCAAACTATGAAAAATCTTAGTGGCAGACATCATACAGAAGAGTTCCAGAGCTGACTCTGCTAATGTTTCAGGATTTGAAAAATGCATCAACATGCATTAGCCCGTAGAAAACCTTTGTTTCACTAATGAGGCAGTTTGCCATTGAAATCACCTTAACTTTGCAATGAGAGGGCCTACTTTCTGCATCTCTTTGGAGCAAAGCACAGTCCCTTTTGTCTGTTCTTATTTATAAAAAAAATTTTTTTTAAGAAAAATAAATCAATTTCACTTCCCAAATCTTAATTGATTAGAGCAGGTGCATTTCTTATTGTTAAAAGTGGAAATACCCTTGCTATTTGATACTATTTACTCTTGTCCTAGGCTAGCTTTGCTTTGTCAGGTGGGGTTTTATTTCTTCTTGAAAGGGATTCCTTGAAGTGACTTGGGTGTCAGGTTTGTGATGCATCCTCTTTTCAATTGTCTTTGCACTCCAAAGAGATGTGAGGACAGGCGGCTCCTCAGCCGTCACAATATTGATACTGTACGATGGCTGTCGAGGCACAGGCCCCTGCTTCTAATCTGCCCTGACAGTCCATGCAGCACATGAATGATAGCAGGTGTGACATCACAAATAAGAGAGGAATCAAAGGGGGGGAATGAAGAGAAAACAGAATAAAAATAAAAAAAAGTTTTTGGGGAGTTTTTCTTTTTTCAGCTTAATTTATTCTCTCATTGAAATGATGGGTAGATGGGAAAGAGATGGAGGTCTTTGCCAGATTCTGTAAACAATCTTTTCTCAGATACAACATCCTTTATCCTTTTCTCTTTCTGTTCTGAGCTGCAAGAGATGGCTGATGGGGCGGTGGCCTGGGTCATTCATTTTGGCGGTGTCAGCAGTGGATTTATTTTCACTTTAGTGTGCAGAGGGAGACACAGGACAGGATGCTTAAGACTGTAGAACAAAGGCATACAATAGACTTCTTCAAAGACACCTTGAAGACATGGATTCATCAGTCAGACAAGGAGTCTGTGGACAGGTGTCTAACCACAATGGGTCACTCACAGATATACACACATACACAAAAACAAAAGGCACACAGAGGAAAAACACATGCCACCTAAATCAACTTCTTGCTTTCATTGTGATCCTGTAAGATAGACGAGTCCGGGTTGGCACCTTTGTCCAGAATGCAAAAGGCCCAGTCGCATGAGGCTCTTTGTTAAGATGTGGATCTCAGTTACAACACAGCCAATACTTTCACCATTGTCTTTGGAGTTGGACATACAGGAAATGATAAAACATCGCAAATGAATTTTGAGAGATTTATTTACTTTTTATTTGAATCATTCGTCAAGTATGCTTGAACGGTACATACGCACTATACATCTATAACATGACAGAAGAATTCCCAGAGCCTAAGGTGACATCTTCAGAATACTTGTTTTGCCCAAACAATAGTCCAAAACCCCAAGACTTTTTGATTAATCTACTAGTTAATCAGCAGTAAACTAACTGGCAACATTGACCGGAACCTTTGACAGACTTCTGTTTCCTGTTCCCCCGGTAACCGTACTCACTTCCTGTTTTCTGTGCCTGTACTGTGTTGTGCTTGTTTCCAGATTGTTTAGGGATTAAGCTCTCTATTTTCTAGGTCTATCCGAATTTTTTTGAGTGACGACATACGCCTGCACTACTTAGCACATGTGTTACCGAAGTTCTTGCTAATTACCAAATTTAACTTGTTACTTTGGGTCGGCTAGCTTAGAAGTTAGCTAAGCTAGTAGCTTAGTTATGGCTTCCCCCTCTTCCTCTCCTTCTCTTGCTCGGAGTGGTGTATGTTCAGTTATTCCTCTGCCTCCGTTAGCGATAATGAATTTAGAGAACAGCACATGTAGCTGGTATGGAGCTTCCTAGACATAGCTTAGCCCAAGCTAGCCGCCCCCCAGAGCTTCCCAAGCAGCTGGGATCTCAGCCAGGTGGCTGGGTGACAGTTCGCAAGAGTCATAGCTCAAAACTAATGCCCATGGTGCATCACCTGACTTTTCACGTTTCAAATCGATTTTCCCCACTCAGCACACCACCTCTGAGAAAACAACTCTGGTAATTGGAGACTCCATAGTCAGAAACGTGAAGCTAGAGACACCGGCGGCCATGGCGTAATGTTTTCCTGGGGCCAGAGCGGGCGACATTGAATCCTATTTGAAGCTGCTGACTAAGGATAAAGGTAAATACAGTAAGGTTGTTATTCACGTCGGCACTAATGACTCCCGACTTCGCCAGTCGGAGGTCACTAAAATTAATGTTGAGTCGGTGTGTAACTTCGCTAAAACAATGTCAGACTCCGTAGTTTTCTCTGGACCCCTACCCAATGTGACCAGTGATGAGATGTTTAGCCGCATGTCGTCATTCAACCGCTGGCTGTCTAGGTGGTGCCCAGAAAATAACGTGGGCTTCATAGATAACTGGAAAACATTTTGGGGAAAACCTGGTCTGATTAGTAGAGACGGCATCCATCCCACTTTGGTTGGTGCGGCTCTCTTATCTAGAAATCTGGACGAGTTTGTTTTACAACCTAAATTATGACAACCCAGAGTTGAGTCCAGGATGCAGGGTCGCAGTCTTACACGCCTCTCTGCTGTCTCCTTGCAGCTGCTACCCACCCAACGCTCCCAGTACCCCATAGAGACTGTGTCTGCCCCCCGCCCACCTAAATTATATAAATCAAGAATCAACTCCAGAGGCGTTATTCATAAGAACCTAATTAAAATTAAGATGACTCCTCTTATAGTGGAAAGTAATGGGACAATCAAATGTGGACTATTAAATATCAGATCTCTCTCATCTAAATCTCTGTTAGTGAATGATTTGATAAGTGAACATCACATTGACTTATTGTGTCTTACTGAAACATGGTTACAGCAGGAAGAATATGTCAGTCTAAATGAATCCACTCCACCTGGTCACACTAACTGTCACATCCCTCGAAACACAGGTCGAGGTGGAGATGTGGCAGCGATCTTCGACTCAACCATAGACCTAAACATAGTTATAACTCATTTGAAAGCCTCACTCTGAGTCTCACGCACCCAAACTGGAAAACTCAAAAGCCAGTTCTATTTGTTATTGTATACTGTCCACCTGTCCCTTATTCAGAGTTTTTAACTGAATTCTCAGACTTTCTGTCTGTAAACTATAAACTGTGATATTTTATAGATGAAGTGAAAATGATCTCTAAGTTAAAAACTGTTGGCCGGAGCCCTATTTTACAATGATATAAAACAAAGAACAGAAAAGCTGCAACCAACAAATGTTTGGCATTTTGCAGAGAAATTATTGAGACTATTTTTCAGCTAATCAGAGTATTGACTAATTGTTTGAAATCTAGTAAGACTACATTTCTTGAACATTACATTTGCAATGGTTTCATGTTATGTCTATAAAAATGGTTTGATATCAGCTCTTTCAATCTTCTAAGATGGCAGGTCTGTACGGAAAAAAAATCACAACCTTTAGCAATCAATCATCGATTTCTGTCTGGTGTCATTTTTTTTCTGAATGTGAAGGCAAAAACAAAGATGTGTGTGTTGGAGCAGGTGGGTAAATACAGAGCAGATCTGTGTTGCAGCACTGTCAGAGTTTGATATGACAATAAGAGGTTTGCTTGGTCATATTGTGTGTATCCAAGGCTATTGTGGGGCTGAGTAGAACTGGCTGTGAGTGAGGTGAGAATGGGGAGCAAATGTCTGATTGGGGAACATTTCATTCTCAATCCACTATGAAACAGGATGCCACCTCTATTTCAAAAAGGGTCATTGCCAGCTATAGGTCACTTATATTTGTTGTTGAAGCATAGATTGGTGTTCTATTTTTGAGTTCATTTCCAATGAATTCACTGAACTGCAACACACAAACTAATTGCTCATATTTACAGCTGAAATATCAACATACAATATAACCTACAGTTTAAAGAATAACTACTTTCTCCTGAGGAAATCATGTTGTTTTCCTCTCACCTTTTTTAATTTTTTCCCTCTTGTCCCACAGGAAAGACTCTTGCAATTGTTCATTTACTGAGAGGAAGAAGTTGATGGCCAGGACTTTCTTTTATTCTTTCATATTTGTAAAGATTATTTCCACCATGATCCTATTAACAACAGGATGGATTCATGAAGAAACTGTTCTCTATTAAAATAAAAAAGGTCAGTGAATGAATCTAAATCTTATTCCCTCTGCAAATTCAATTCAAGAGGCTACGTTTGTGTTCTCAAGGCCAGCAAGTCTGAAAGTCATAATCCCAGACTGCAAGTACCACTTCATGTCCCAGCAGGCTCTGGTCTTGGAACATTAAGGTTGCTGAGGCGGAGTTGATTTGGTGAGGGCCACCTGTACCCAGCCACTGCCTGGCCTATAGAGAACCCACAACAGCTGGTTACCAGAGGTAAAGAGGTGCTGACTTCTAAGAAAATGGTGTTTGAAACAGGTTTAAAATTTTACTAGTTTGTTTTATGTAAATCATTTCTTTGTCACCGTCATAAGTACATGTCAAAGTCTAATCCACAACTCCATGAACGTAAACCTCACTCATGATTTATTAATCAGTGGATTCCTTCTCTTGCACTCACCCTAATGAGTGATGCTTACCTTCCCCTGCTCTTCCTGAATTTATTTTCCTCAGGTCAGAACCACAGCTCAAGACCCCCATGGCTGGTGACATATGTGAGCAGAGCAGGGGGTGGGGCACTGGAAGCCTGCTGGTCATGCCACTGAGCTCAGGTAGGTTCCTTGAGCCTGATCCCCCCCCCACCCGGGCACCCAGGGGAGAGGAGGTGTTAAAACCTGAAGGGCCTTTGCCTGGTCCCTCTGAGCATGCAACCATCTGCTCGCCGCCCCCACCCAGCTGGCCACCTTTGATCCCACCAAATTTGAGCTAAAATGAGGACGATGACTGAGCTCTTCCAGTTCGCTCTGGAGAAGCGGGAGAGTGGAGGGGAGAGGAAGAGCAGAGGTTCATGGACTCGAGACGGACAAACACTTGGTGATGACATGGCTGTGAATCCCACTCTGGAAAAAAATGTTTCCATGTGTTTCTGCCTCAAAAGTACATATTGTTGTGAATATGCATACAGACGTTTCTGGCAGAGCACATGTAATTTGTCCTTAGTTTGCCTGTGAAGGAGCATAAAGATTTTACAACATGCAACCACATAGTGTTAAGGTCTGAGAAAAACCCATATATCAGACTGCCGTATACATAACACTGCATTCTGTACAATGAGAAAATTACAGGTAGATTGTCTGTTAATTGATGAAAATGTATGGAATCCTACCATTTATGGCTAGGACACACTGCAGCCATGACAACGTAATTGCGACATTTTATATCTCAAATTAAAACATGTCTCTCAAACGTAGAATGTGAACCAAGGTCGATCAAAACTTATATGAAAATGACCAGAATTACTGTACTCTCAAGAATGTATGGATCTGAGCTAAACGGCTATTTACCATGATTAAAAGAGGATTTTAAACTGAATGACCATTTCAGCGACAAATCAGCGAGCGAGCACACAATCAACATTTTGCTCCTGCGACCCAAGACCAAATGGATTCCACAGAAAATATCATGTGAATAATTAAACGCATTGATTAAACAGTGAGATAATATTTAATTAAGGTGGCTCATCAGAATTCCTTGTGCAGCACCATTAATGGGTCATTAACACAATTAATTAATTAAGCACCCTCTAACTCCAGGAAGGAATTCAATCTATAATGAGTACATGTTTTTGAAGAAGTTAATTAGGTAATCCCACAAAGTCTTGTGTACAGAATCTAATGTGAACTACAATTACTGCTAAAACTACCTGAAGTTCTTGACAAGGGAGTAGCAACAATAGCCAGGCTTTCTCCACTTGTAAGCTGCTTCTTAATTTTGAGGATTGACAAAGGTGATAAAAAAGAGGAGTTTTAAATGAGATGCTTTAAAACATCTTGCTCCTTATTACTTTATTCTAAGGATGTAGTTTCGCTTAGAGACTAAACATAAAGAAAAGAGATTTTGTTATGATCTTAGCTAAGTGTACATTTGATAAGGAGGTTCCTTTGTATTGTAAAATTACTTTTTTCCCCACTAAGTAATAGAGCTGCAATAATTAATCAATTCATAATTAATTTCTAATAATTGATTAATCCTTTAGGACATTTTTAACTAAAAAAAACTTTTTCTTAGCTTTCTCTAATGTCAAAATTCACTGCTTTTGCTCGTCTTAAAATTATAGAAAATGGAAAACTTTGTGTTTTGAACTGTTGGTCAGGCAAAATAAGACATCTGGTGACACCACCTTGGGCTCTAGGAAAGTTTGGAGGACATATACAAAAAGACTTTCTAGTTATTGAGAAAATAACCTGCAGCCTGAAGAAAGAAGAAGGAAGCATATCTAAGTTTTGACAATAAGTTCTGCTGCTAAATCTCCAGTCTCCTAAATCACCTCCCATTTGCTTCTAAATAAAATGGAGGTCTGTGGCATTACACTTCTGAAAATCATTGATATGACATATTTTGGAAACATTTGATCTGTATTCTACAGAGGGAAGGAGGGAAGGTGGAAAAGTGACAGCTAAAGCAGCCCTGTGTGTGATCAGGGGTGAGCTCCCCTGGTGCGATCCCTCACCCCTGTAGCGTGAACAGCTCTCATACGTGATCTGCCAGGCTAACCGGCTTGTATAAATAAAATCTGTTATCTCCCCATCCCTTTGCCTCCCTGTCCACAACCGGGCTATATTTAATCACATGGGGTCTGATGGGATAGGGCCGTTTTTCTGCTGGAATAATCAGAGGGCTTCCATGTGCCTTGGTCATGTATTAATCCTGCTGTCCTATAGCTGGCCTTATCAGCTCCCAAAGCCCACCTCTCACGGGATCTGGGCTGCTGTCTCAGAGCCCTCTAATCTGCCCTGAGAAATTGTTAACAGGATGTAAATGCACCCAGGGATGATATACGGCTTCTTGTATAACATACATGTTATTGTTAAGCATTTTGCATTCAGGCTCTGCGATTATGCACACAAAGAATAGCAGAGATGGTATTGATTGAGGGAATAACAAATGTCGAATATCGTTTTAGATGCAAATGATCCAACAGAGGTTTGGAACAAATCTTTTTTGCTTCTTATGGATATAGACAAGGATGAAATAGTGGACGACATATCTCAGGCAGCTATTCTAGTTTAATAGAATGTACTTGGAGGTGAGGAAGAAAGGTGAATTCTACCATGAAAATTATTTTACTACACAAATGTGTGCGGCCTGATGAAAATTTGGATTTAAAACCTCACAGGAATGATACAAGCCATGTTTCATTTTTGCAAACATCTTAAGGTGTCAACTGTAATTAGTTTCAGACGCTGAGCCTTTGTTTTTATGTCATCCATCCAGAAATGTATTCGCTGCTTCTTTGGTGTGTTTGAGCTTTTTTCTTTTTTTGACAAGAGCCCTGTGCTGTCGATTTCAGTCAGAACCTGGTTTGAGTCAAAGTTAACTCCACCTTCACATTCTGATGCATTTCTATTTTGATGTACACCGTTTCATCTCCACTCTGTCAGCAAGGTGTGTATCACTGACGTCCACTGAAAATGTACTCACAAAGCTGCCAGGAACAGCATTTTAAAAACATCAATAAAGTAAATGCTATATGCTTTTAGCTGTAACCAGTATACTGTATCGTACCCACTTACTGTACATTCTGTAATCTATTTCCTAAGAAAAACTCAAATGAGAACTACTGAGCTTCCATTGTGAAACACAGCAAATGATTCATTACTCTACATCCCCTAATTATGAATGTCTTCACTTTTGTCGTCTTTTACTTTTTGTTGTTTTGCCATGTTCATAACAGACGGTGTTCGCTGTCACTTCCTGTCAAGCTTGGTTAGGACTCGGCATCAGTTCCGATGGACAGGAAGCTGTGACTTTTTTCTGTAGTACAGTAATTAGCCCCCCCATCCCTCTCCTACCCCTTCTCTTCCCTGCAAACACAATGCAAAGCATCTCAAAGCACTGTCTCCCATGATTAAAGACTGCTCATTATCTGCGGCTAGTCTCTGTCTGATTCAAGCCCCCACAGAGGAATGTGTGCAACCCAAAGAGAAGGCACAATTGTCCTTGTCACCCAAATGAGGATTTGCCTTTTTCATATTTCAGGCTCCACCCACTTCAGAATTGGATGTTGGATTTCAGTGCTCATTTTTAGCTAACATATTGTCATAAGCCATCTTAATCAAGGGGTTTTGTTTCCGACAAATACATTTTAAAGCTATTAATTTGCTGTTAATTATAACTTCAACTAATGATTATTTTCATTATCAGTTCATCTACCAATTATTTTTTCAATTAACTGATCAGTTTTTATTCCATGATATGTGAAAACAAAAATATCAATCACAACCTCCCTGAGTCCAAATGTCAAAAATCGAAAAATATTTTATTTAAAATGACAAATAGTAAAAGAAAACCACAGTCTTACATTTGATGAGACAGTGTTTGGCTTCTTCTTTTTTCCCTCACAATTTTAAGAAACATTTTTAAAAAATTAACTGATTATCAAAATACCTGCAGATTAGTTTTTTTTTAACAAATGAATTATCACTTCATGGAAAAAATGCCCATCATACCTTCTCAGAGCCCAGGATGACATCTTCAAGAATGTTTTGTTTGGCCAAAAGTTCAAAAACATCAAGATTCATTCTAAAATAATGTATAACAAAGAAAAACAAAAACTCCTTTCAGAAATTGTTTGGCTGTTTTTCCCAGTGTCTGCTTAGAAAACTAAAAGGACAAATCACCATTTCAACTCAGCTCTTAATATCATCATAACCCTTCAAAAAACAAATAAAAGGACAAAGTGTTTTACATTTCCCGGCATTCCATCCTCCACTGGGACACACCGACAGCATCCTATGACATTGTACCTAGGAGATATGAAAAAAAAACTGGCAGGACAGAGGATGCTACATCTAAAGGACCTCCACGAGCACAGAAAGGCAACTGACTCGAAAAGGCTGAACCATACATTCAGCATTCCAGTAACAGTAAACTCAAATGTTGAGGCTGTCTGCGTGGCAGCCGTTAATGGAAATGTTACAAATGAGGCCCTCAAATAATGAATCATTTCTGACCACTCTCAGCAGTGTCTCCCAGCAAGAGGGTGCCAAAACGTGGACATTTTTCAAGCTGAGGACTGATTAGTCCAGGGATGGGACTCGGCTGGAGGACGGACATTGCAGCGCTTCCCCAGAGAATAAATTTGCACCTGCCCCATCCGGAACAATGGCCCTCTGCCTTCGCACTGTGCACTGTGGTTAATTAAAAAACATGGCTAATTTGCACACTCTACTTTGCTTCAAAATTGGAATCTAGTTCACCACTGAGTCTGTTAATTTACCCAGGAAACTACCGACTGCTGCCGACTGAGAGGGGATGGAGCTGTGATGGGTTTGACAGCAGACTGGACAAAGAGAGGACACTGTGAAAACATCCACGTCTCGCTCACTCTCTCTATCTGCTTGATGCTGTGTTCAGCTAACTTTAAATCAACATACCAGAGGAATAAGCCTAACTGGGATAATCTCCATAAAGTGAAATCACAGAGGGGTGAATTGGGGAATGGGAGTCCTGACAAGGCTTTTCTGACAAGTGACCGGATTGATGATCCCATGACAAAATGAATATTGCTGGAAAGGCAGATGAATTATGACAGTTTTCATATTAAGCAGACTTATCTGTAGCAAAGAGTATTAAGAGCGCCAAGTACATCGACCGATACTATCACAAATTGACCTGCCAATCACCTAGCCCTGGCTTCAACGGTGCAGATAAGGTATTTAAGGTCATTGACAGCAGATCCCCCTGTCTGTTGGTCTTCCTCTTTACTATTATCAGAGCCATGTTTTGCTCCTAAAGAGAAAGCGCCTTGGTCTCTATCGCAACATGAAAAAGATCTTGGATAATTCACCCAGGCTCAAAAATGGAGGCTATTTCACAGCTAGGGTTTTACACGCTAACCGCAAGAGCCCTTTAATACTTCCTCCATGTCAGAGAAGACTTTGTAGCAGTGGGGTTGCAGGGGGAACTTCCCAAGGCTTATGAGGTAATCTCATTGATATTTATTCATCTAATGATGACTAAGAATGTAAACTGATAGCTACATTCATTCCAAGATGACCCCAATAAGTCTTTCATATTTAAAGTAATGAACTGTGCATAAAAGCAGTTCCAAATCTTCAAGTCAGGCATAGAAGAAGGTGTAAAGCAGAGAAATCCCAGCAAGGTATTAAAGTTAGCAAATGGTAGATAATACCACAAGATTCAAAGATGTATGTCCAACAATGATCCAGTAAGGGTGAATTAAAGCTCCTGGCAAATTGGATGGAACTAAGACTTAAATAAAGACTCTGGTATTTTAACTTGGAATTTATACTGCTATCCCCCGCGTTCTTTATTTGAAAACTCTCACATGGAATTTGGATACAGACTAAAAACAAATTCTGTCGTCAAATAGCCAAGTGTGCATGTGATAATTACATATTTACTCAGCTCGGCTGTGATTTAGAGAAAGGACAAGACAGCAAATGCGAGGCTGAGCTGTTCCTGAGAGACGGAGGAGGCAGAGGGAGGAGAGACAGAGCACTGGAGACAGAGAGTTGAGGACAGGGAGAGTGCTACTTTTTGGGGGGAGATCACTCCTCACGTTGAGCTGGAGCTGTTGTACCTGTCGCTGCAGTGCTGACAGGCAGTTTGTTTGGACGGGGGGTCGACCAAGGAGCAGGGGAAGTGAAAGAATGCTAAGGACACTCAAAGTTAGTGATAGCAAGAGGGGACTGGGCAGCAGAGGTGGCATGATGATTTACTGACTCCTCAGGGGGTGATCTTGACCTGAGGTTGAGATCACTGTAACAACCACGGGTACTGGAAATTTTTGTTCCCTTATGTTCTTTTTGCCCAGAGTGTGGAACAAGTATTATGCAAATACGTGCAACTTGTGACCTATATTTCAAATTTGGTCATTTCACAACTGGGCTGTTTTATATTTATACAAAACTAATAAATGAAATATTACAATAGGGTACTGTATCAGGCTTGTGTGAGTAAACAGCAGGCTGGAGAGCTCATTTTGTGTCTAAAAGGTTATGAAACAGCAGCCCCTCTTACTTCAGCTGAGGTCTGCTCCCCTTGAGCTGTTGTTTTTGTCTTGTTGACCCAACATTCACTGGCTTCTATGCTGTCATCACCTGTGAAATGACTAAGCTTGGAGTATAAAGCTTTAATGAGAAAACACACAAAGGTGCTCATTTGGTATTGCAGCATTACACAGAAGTACAGTATGAACCAAATCCCCCACCAACTATCCAAACATGTATCTTTTTATATGGCCTGTTGTTGCCAGCAGTTTGTCTTGTGTGGCCATGGGGGCAGCTGTTGACACTGTTACCGTTGCATTTCCTGTTAAGCTTACCAGCTGCCTCTACTCTATTCTCCATGGCCCCCTGGAAGGGTGGGTGAAACAAGTGTTAGCAGCCGCCTCGACGACAGACAGCTCCTTTCTGCCTCTGGCTGTTACTGTATCGCCAGGCTTTCAGAGCACAAAGAAAACCAGCGAGCGTGGAGACCACAATGGCCTCACAATGCACCTCACCAAGCCCTCTCTTATTAACACACACTCTTCGTGGTGCAGGTTCAACCTACAACGGGAGAGGGGCGTACGGAGGGTGGACTGTATGCCACATGCACAATGATAACATGGCTGCAGATGAGTGTATGTCTGCATAAAACCTGACCACAGCTGACATGCAGCTGAATACACGTTGGTTCATTTAAAATAAGATGTAAACCGCTGGCTAATGATGACTCTATGCCCATATCTTTAGAGGCATATCAGTTGACCTTATTTGACCACAAAAACAAAACACAGAACCAGATGCCCAAAAATGGAAGAAGAAAAACACCCATCTTATTTGTGAAGAATTATCAAGCAACAAGATGAGCCAATTGTACACAGATCACTTTCTCTTCAAGTTACTGACAACACTGCAAAGTATTATTATATGTAAAGTATAGCACAAAGAATATGCATATGTTTGTGAATGTATATAAGATCAACTTCATCCTCCTCAACTTCAAATACCGACTGTCAGAAAGCTTGAAGTGTATTCGGGTAATTAGTTTATATGCATAAGAAAGGTACCGAAGGACTTATGATGTAAATATTTTTTCACCGTGTTAGGAAGGTATGTATAGCTTCTCAAAGTAAAGCTAAAACAATGATTGTCTAATGTGCAAGAGAGTCTCTTTTTCACAGTGTGCAGTCGATAATGAAATCTGACCATTTTGATAGGGCAGGGGCTTTTAAGAGCAGACTTTGAAAAAGTTATTGTCATTATTGATGGCGGCAGTTTTCTCTTGTGGATGCAGGAGTGGGAGGGGTGTCACTAAGAAGGTGTCACATGATTAGTAACCACGTTTAAAGTGTGCTGTGATCAGCCATTGCATCAGGGAAAGCAGTGACAGGTGTACTGTAGAAAGGCTTGCTGCGAGGAAAACAGGAACAGGTGACTCCTCCAAAGCTCTGCTGCTAAAATTAAAATACTTCAGAAGATGTGAACAATGGACTGTTAGATCAGGGGAATAAGGATTCAAAAAAGTATTTTTATTCCAACACATAATGACCCTACATGCATGTGCATATTGTTAATTCAACAATGGTGGAAAATATAGCTTTACCAAGATGAAGGAGCTGTTTTGCTTTGCTTAGAGATGACAAAAGTAAGGGCAGGCAGCACTCGAGGACAAGGCCAGCCCTGATGTAGAGGAGATGTAGGAGAGTGTGTTTATTTCATACTTTACAGACCTGCCTTGTCAGCATATCATGCCCTGAGCCAATGTCTCAAACATGAAGCCCCAGTAAGAGAGAAACCTCAACCGATACAACATTCAGTAAATATAATAAACATCCCTGTGAAACAAATTGTTCATAAGCTACCTGTTTAATTTTTCAGGTCTCCTTGAACCATATATTTTCTTATTAGTTTGGAGACATTCACTTGGCTTGAGTGGATAGATGATGCTGTCAGGGGCCTGGGCATTATGGCTGCTCTGTGTGAGTGATTTCTACCAAGGAAAGCCTATTAGGCCTGACAGGGGGATGATGATATTAGGCCATCATCAGTCAGGAGACACCGCCCCCACTACACCCTCATCCATCAGACAGCCCAAAACAGCCAGCTATGCTCCCTCCTTTCTTTGCTCCCCCTGACTCCCTTTCTCTCCTTCTTCATTCCTTTCCTTTTTTTGCCCTCCCTCCCAGTTTACATCCTACCTAGACTCTCTCTCTTGCTCTCACAGTATTCCCTTCACATTTTCTGTCTCATCCTTTCTTATTTCATTGTTTTATACCATTCTGTCTATCACGTTCCCTCGCTTCACTTTTCTCTCTTCTCTCTCGCTTTCTGTGATGGCAAACACAAAGACAAATTCTGCCCTTTTCTTAGCCCATGAAACATTTAACATTTCATTCCAGATCTTGGCAGACGCACATAAAAAATGACCTAATGAATCTTACTTATTGTCTACCCTGAGTGCAATCACGAGCTAAATATGAGATCCCTGTCCTCTGGCCTGTATCCATTGTCCTCTTGGCCTCCCATGTTCTTACTCATCCATTGCAGATTGAGATCTTTACCTTAAAGCTACAAAAATGTGCAAGCCAGAAAAGTCTGTATGTTCAAAAGTTCTTGAGTAAGCATTGTTACTCAAGAACTTATATTTCTTTTGCACTCCTAAAATAGGCTTCCTTTGCATCCCGAAATATGATCTACATAATCAAATGTACAGTAAAGAAGGGTTGTGTGCATTAAAAGAAGACTCCACCAAATGAGCATCACGCTCCTAATTGTTTGACTAATAATGCACAGTGTTTTAAGAAAGTGTCGATGCAGCAGAACCAGATATATTGCCTTATTTATTTTAAACACTTATTCCTTGTGAAACCCTGGCACCTACATTACCCACACTGCAAATCAGCCACCAACAATTCCATCCATCCATCCATCCATTTTCTTCCGCTTATCCAGGACCGGGTCGCGGGGGCAGCATTCTAAGCGAAGATGCCCAGACTTCTCTCTCTCCAGACACTTCCTCCAGCTCCTCCGGGGGGATGCCGAGGTGTTCCCAGGCCAGCTGAGAGACATAGTCCCTCCAGCATGCCCTGGGTCTTCCCCGGGGCCTCCTCCCGGTGGGACATGCCCGGAACACCTCCCTAGGAAGGCGCCCAGGAGGCATCCGAAACAGATACCCGAGCCACCTCAGCTGGCTCCTCTCGATGTGGAGGAGCAGTGGTTCTACTCAGACTCCACCCGGGTGACCGCGCTCCTCA